AAAGGGTCACATCACCCAGGAGGCAACAAATAACCCCAATCCATCCCAAGACATAGGTTGAGATGGAACAAAACAGAGATAACACAGTGCAAGAACAGAAAGGCAGAACTGAAACTATGGAACACAGAATTGGCTGACAGATATCTCAGTACTAATCTGTTAGAGAAAAAGTCAGGGGAAAAAAGAGAAACAGCCTCAAGAGGAATATTTTACACGTAGCAGAAATTCAAGAAGAGGAAGTAACTAAACAACAAACAAACAAACAGACTAAAACAACTACAAAAAAGCCCCAAGCCAAAGAAGAACTTGTGCAAGATTTGCTTTTGAAAAATTCCCAGATAATATAAAAAATAAGAAACTATGTATTCAAGAAGCTTTGTTAACCAAAGACAGGATAAAGGCCAAAATAAAAATGCTAAGATATCATATTATCATAGTATCCAAAATTAAAAAGTAAATAAATATTGAAAGTAGATCAGGAAAACTGAGTCACCTACAAAAGGGAATCAATAAGTAAGTTCCAATTTTCCAGAAGAAACTATAAAGAGCAGAAGGTATTGATTGGGATGATACATATAATGGTCTGAAAAACAATTGCTGCCAAACAAGAATACTGTATCTAGCCAAAGTGACTATGAAATATGAAGGTGAAATTAGCACATTTCAGTACAATCAAAAAAGGAAATTAGTTTTCTGTTTCTGTGTTTTTCTGTTCCAATTTACTGAGTAGTTTTGAGGTCATTTTTGAGACTAAGATATGCCTGATTTAGGCCATGGTCTTCTTAATCACTTCCTGTGCATTTGAATGCTAGATAATGAATGACAGAAGAAATTATGCCTTCAAGTTTTGGTGTTGCAGAGGAATTCTAAGTATCCCATGGGCTACCAAAAGAAGAAAGAGATATGTCTTGGAAAAAAATGCAGCCAGAATTCTCCTTGCAGGCAAGGATGACAAAGCTTTGTCTCATAGTTTGGGCATGTTCTTAGGAGAGGCTCTTCCTTGGAGGAGGTGATCATACTTCGAAAGGTGGAAGGTCAGGAAAGGAGAGGAAGGCCCTCAACAAGATAGATCAGCACAGTGCCTGCAGCAATGGGCTCAAAGTGTCTGAGAGACTGTGAGGATGACACAGGCTAGGTCAGAGTTCAGATCTCATGTTTATAAGGTTGCTATGAGTTGTACTCACCTTAGAGGAGCCTGAGAACAAAAAGAACAGGGAAATTTGGAAAATAATGTCAACACGCAAAGAAAACCTAAAGGGAGCTTTTTGCATCGGAAACCAACAATAACAGACAATAAAATAAAATCAGTATGTCTCAAGATGCCATTAGAAACGGATTAGGACACAGAAATACACAAGTATGTAAAAATACTTTTTTAAGAACATTCTGGTTTCACCTATTCTTTTCAAGTGTCTACAATTTGCTTGGTATTCTTTGCTGGTGCCATGGACTTCTGAGGCATTGGATCATCTATGGTATTTCTCATTCATAGTTCAACTTTCATATGCATATGTTTTGAGTTTTTTGTTTTCAGCAGAGCTTCTCACTGCAGTTAGGTGTTTGGTTTTGGAATGTTACCTCCTTGGAAATTTGTTGGGGACCCAAGTGGAACAGGTTCCCAGATACCTTAAAACTTTTCTCATTTTACCTGGAATTCCTTAGTGGTCAGGGTATGAGGATTTTTGGTTTATGCTGTGTGGTCCATAACGAAGGCATTTGAACTTCATAAGGAAATGTTTTGGGTCTTTTTTGCTCTTAGCAAGCAATGTTGTTGTTTTTGTTAAGTGCCATTGAGTCGTAGGCAACTCATAACGACCCTATGAATGAAAGTCCTGGACACCTGTAAAACTTCCATTCTTTCTCCAGGTTTATAGGGTTTCCAGAGGCAGCTGTTATGGGAATGTATGTCACTCTTGCTTCCAAGCTTGTTTTAATTGGGGAGCTCCACCAAACACTGTCCACCATTCTCACATTTGACTCCTCAGTGTCACCGTGTTCGGCTTCACAGCAACCACGAGTTACCTCTGTACAGCAAGTGGACATAAAAGGGTTATACGACCTAGAAGAATGTTTCACCAAAACCAATTAAAGGAGGCCTGACGGCCACGGGTAGGCAGCCCTTAAAATCCTTATTTACTCCAGCAATGATATCTGCATTTATTTCTTATCAAAGGACCTTTGTATATACAAAGGTCATATCAAACATGTAATTGCAGACTTACATGTTGCTGTGATACTTAACAGATTTTAGCATAAGCTTGGAACTAAAATGGACTAGGAAAAAGACTTGGTGATCTACTTCTGAGAATTAGTGAAAACTACATCGATCAGAATGGTCTGATTGAAATGATGAACATGAAGGCAGATGGAGCAGCAGTTTGCTTTGCTGTGCATGGAACAACTATGAGGGAAGAACAGTGAACAACCTCAATGTATGAAGCATTGGGTTTCAAATGCTAAACCAACTACATGGAATTTATTCCAGAGATGGAAAATTTTATAATATTTGAAAATCACACAATTATTATATAACATTCTTTTTGCTATGTTGTTGTATTTGACTTGCTAAAATTTTACTTGGGTTCATAGAGGTTACTGCATTTTTACTGTAATCTCTCTTCTATATCCTTTATCAGTGGAATGATGACCTTATAAAGGAAGTTAGAAACATTTCTTCCTTTCATTTTTTCCTGAAAAATCTGCATAGGATTGATTTTGTACATTCTGTAAATATTTCATAAAATTTAACATGAAGGGAGCTCTGGTGGCCTAGTGGTAGGAAGCTGCACTGCCATATCAGAGGTGTGTGTTTCAAGTCCACCAGATGTTCTGCTGGAGAAGGAGGGACAATCTTTTCCTGTACTAGTCAGATCTGATGTGACAGTACACATACAAAAATAATAAAATAAAATGAAAAAACATGGAAAACCCCCCAAAATAATGGTATAAGGGCACAATTTTTAAAAGCTAAAGAAGTTTACCCATTATTAGGCAGCACTGGTGGCCTAGTAGAAAGAAAGTGCACTGCAATCCCAAAGGCATGCTGTTTGAATACACCAGTTGCTCAGCGGGAGAAGAAGGCAAAGATTCTAAAGCTTCGTCTGACATACTTTGGACATGTTACAAGGAGGTACCAGTCCTTGGAGAAGGACATCATGCTTGGGAGGGTGGAGGGACGGCACAGGAGAGGAAGGCCCTCTATGAGGTGGATTGATTCAGTGACTGGGATAATCTGAATGGGTGTGTCAGAGACAGTGCGATTGGCACAGGACAGAGCAAGGTTTAGAGCTGTTGTACATAGGGTCGCTATGAGTTGCAGGCGACTGGATGGCATATAACAACAACAACAACAACAAAGAAGAAGAAGTTTACACACAGGTATAATGAATTGTGGACAGTTAGCAGGCAGGGGAAGGGAGAAAGAGGAGAAACAATAAATTGTTAAGTTGGGCCACTTTAAGGGATTGATTGTTTTTGTTATTGTTGTGTGCTGTGGAGTTGGAACCCACTCCTAGCTGACCTTCCAACACTTTTTCAGAGGCAATGCATCCCTCTAAGAGCAGTGATGGATTTGAATTGTGTGCCTTCACTGAGTAGCTGGTGAGTTTGAACTGTGTGACTTTGGGATTGCAACACAGCTCTAGGCCGCTAGGCCACCAGAGCTCCCTTAAAATTTAAATGTCTAATCAATTCATCAAGTGGTGACCACTTCCAAAGCAAAAGCTTGCCTCCAGAAACTTTATGAACTTGGAGAAAATATATGACAGTTTTGAGTTCAAGACTTTTGTTCATAGGGTGGGTCATCTATGACTCTGCAGCACAACAACAATCAATCAATTCATAAGGAATTGATGGGCTAGTGTGGGTAGTCTAGTGTTAAGAAACTGCACTGCCAACCAAAGGTATATAGTTCTACCAACTGCTTGCTGTTCAAGGCAAAGATGAACTATATACTCCTGTGCAATTACCTGCCTCTGAAAACATGCTGGAGGGTTAGCTATGACTTGGTTTCTACTCAACAGTACATGACAAGTAAGCAATACTGCATTAGGGAGTTGTCATGGCCAATTGGTAAGGAGCTGCATTGCAAACCCAAAGGCATACAGAGCTAATCCACCAGTGGTTCTATGGGGAAATGGGCAGTTGCCTCCCATGAGAATTACAGCCTCTAGAATCATAGAAATATAAAACTTATAAATATAAAAAACATTTAAAATAAGGCTGATTACAGACACACAAGAAGCAAAACTAGCTCCTATTGAAGCAGTGTTTTAAATCCTAAATGTCCTGCTTCAAAGAACTCACACTTCACACTCTCATGTGGACACACCACCCTCCATCTTCCATACTTGCTGCTTCTTTCACTTATCCTTCAGGTATTGGATGATATTCCACCACCATCATCATTATAAGATTACTGTTCTACAGTGTTAAAATCTTAAAAGCAAGTGATGAGTCCTGTTTACTATAGCATTAAAGGTACTAAACCAATACTTTCCAGTGATTAAATATTCTGTTAAGGTTTCAGGAATAAAGGAGACAGTGAGTATGTACTATAATTTATTAAGAGTTATTTCTTTTACAAAATGAATTAGCAGAGAAAAATCTAAGTCAGTATCTCTCAGTTTTAGAGAACATAGCTTTTAAAGTTAAAACTAGGCAAGAGTGAGCTATCTTTTTATTTTTTAATTTGATTCTTCATCTCATGCATAGTAAAGCTGTAGTCTTTAAACTATACAAAGACACTCATATCACAGTACTATCTTTTCTTGTTCCACGTCACAATATACTATGCAGGTTTCCATATTGTTCTCTTTTTTTAACAAATAGCAAAGATGTTAACATGTAAATAATCTCCTCCCTCCAAAACACCAGTATAAAATTTAAATGTTACAGATCTAAAACATGGACATAAAGATATAATATGTTTGGCTCCCTACATAGTTAAAAGACTAATTACTTTCTTAAAACATCATGTGGAATATGTACCCCTGATATCTTTAGGGGTAAGAGAAGCTTCTGGCCAGCCCAGCAGAACTCGCTCTGCCCATGGGGAGACCTCCAAGGATGGCTGCAATTCTGGCTTGAGCTCTTTCTTCTTCATCTTTCAAAGCCTCTTCATACTGGGATGGAAAAGACCATGGGTCAATTCTTTGGGCCTTGGCCACAAACTCCAAGACTTTCATCTTGGTGGTTTCAGCGTGGGCTCGTGGGCCCCACAAGAATTCATACTGTGGGGGATCACTGTTGGGCACCTGCTGGTACTCAAGGTATTTTTCTTGCACCATGTCTTTGGTGATGAGCTTCTTGGGATCCCCAAAGATGAAGTGCTTCTGCTGAGGATATATCCCCGTCACACTCAGAACTTCCCAGACTTCGTCTTCAGTGGCCCTGTTGCCCTTCATGAAGATCACACTCAAGATCAGTATGAGGAGGCCAGTCTTTGGCATGCCCTCTACTTCACTCAGCAGCCCGTCGTAGGTGAGGTCTAATTTGATCAGAACGACATAGATGTTGCTGCCGGGATCCACTTCTTTCAGTTCCATACCGAAGATCATCTCCAGGCATTCAGTGGCTCTCATGAGGATCTCAGGAAAGAAGTCTGTGTATTCTTGCAGGACAACATTCAGCATCTCTTCCTTTGTAATCAGGTCTTTGTTTTTATACTTGGCCAGCAGGAAATCTACCAGGAAATCCACTTGCATACTTAGAAAATATTTGCACATATTCACAATGTGTGACAGAATCTCTGAGGCACTTGGATTATCTTTGTCTTCTTCAATGTTGGAGCTTTCATTTGATTTGCTCAGTGAGCTTGATGAGGCAGGAATGGTAGAGGGATGCTCATCTTGAGGACCCTGGGAATTACTGGGTGCCTCAGCATCACGAACCTCTCTTAGGTTATCAGCTATTGGAGGACCCTGGGAGCTACAGAGTATCTGAGCATCACAAACCTCTTCTAGGTTATCAGCCATTGGAGGCGTGGAGGGAGAGGGAACGATTTCCTCCAGAGATTGATTGCTCTGTGTCCTGTCCAGGTCCTGAGCTTCACCAAGCCATGACTTCTCCCGCTCCTGAGACATGATGACCTTTGTCAAGAGCAGCAGGGACCAGAGCCTGAGGAGAGAAGGATACTGTGAGTGACTTAAGTAAGCAAAATAAACTGGTAGTTTTGATCAAGGCTACTTGCAAGAATCTTCTTGTAACAATAATGTACAACAGCCTCAAATGTCATCTCCTTTTCTGAGTGTTAAGAACAGTTCTTAGGCTTCCCTAAGAACCTAAATAAAAGAAGTGTGAATGTTTCACTGGTCACTGCCAGTCAATCCAGGACTCTTTCATCTGACAGCAGGCAGATAGGTTTGGATGGAAGGACCATTCAATACAACCTTAGGCTCCTTAAATTGTCGCCTGGTAGGTTCTCCAAACAATCCCTCTGCTAATATCAATTCATCCCCTAATATCCTTCCCCAGTAGTGAAGTTAGGCAGTGGCATTTCTGGCAAGTTCTCTTTATGCTCCACCAGCCTAATAATATAGACATTGAAGAGCGTATCGAATGTCATAAATACAAAGAAATAAAACCTTAAGCAGTGTTCTCTCTTAAAGATTATCTGGGGACTTTATCTACACAAAAGTCTTTAGAATGGACACTGGTGGATAAATCTGGACCCTTCTAGAGTAACAACATTTACTATCTTTTGCCCAAGGTCTCTCTTCTCTGAAATACCAGACAAGAAAATATTGTGACACTCTCCTATTCAAATAAGCACTATGGCAAAACTCCTCTAATATAATTATATATATATATATATATATGTATATATATATATATGTATATATATATATATATATATATATATATATATATATACATTGTTAAACATTTACTCATGGTCTTTCCATGGACTCCTGTAGGGCTGATGACTCTTCCTGCTAATGATCTGAGGAATCAAAGGAATTATGCTGCCAGCCCAAAGTGGTCAAGTTCAAGTTCCACCAGCTGCTCTGTTTGAGAAAGTTGGGCAACGTCCTTCAGGATTATTTACTACCTCTGAAAATCCCATAAGTCAGCTATGAGTTGACTAGAAGCTCCAAAACCACCACCACCTGCATAAAAGAACTCAGTTGGTGCCCCCCTTTTCCTGGGTGGGTGTTCCCCTCAATCCGCACTCATGGTTTTCCTGTGGACACAGAGCAGATTCTGGAACCCTACAGTCCTCCGCTTCTTCTTAGCATTCCATACCTTTACTGAGGGGTCTCTCAGGCTGGCACCCAGCTCCAGCTTCTCAAGAGTGATTCTTTATGCACAAGTCCCTCTGTTATGGGGCCCTTCATACCCTCAAATCTCACTTAAGAGTTTTACCTTGAAACCGGGAAGGTTTATCCTCTCTCAGCAGAGGTGAGTCAGCACGCTCAGTCCAAGTCTCCACTGAGCTTCCAGAGCTGGAAAAGGAAACCAAGGTTTATCACATCCGCTTAACCTCCTGAGGTCTCTCAGAGCTCATGGCGGGGGGCGGGCTCTGTGCACAGTAGGTGGTAGCAGCAGCCATTACTGCACTCTCTGGGTCCTTGCCTCCATATCCCTCAGCACTGGTATTCCTTCTTTGGCTGAGCTGAGTTTGCTCTCCTCACATTAAATGTTAAATGTCCGAGAACCATAAAGAACAAGTGAGGAGACACGTCTCATAGCCATCATGCTGTCAACCTGAATACTTACGTTCCTCCTTTGTGCAATGCTCTAATTCTCCAGCTACTCTGGGGTGTTAGTGTTCTCCGTTTTCTTGCAAAGGAGTCCTCATCTTGACCCCCAGCTCTTTAAGTCTTCTCTTGAAACTCCACAGCCTAGCTAACTCTTGGTTAGTTTTCTTACCTCACTCATCTCTTGCAGCGATTGGGTCCAGGGTTTGCTTTCTTGCAATGTCCTTGTAGGATGGTAAAAATGACACCCCAAGAATAAAACACAGCACAGGTAGGAGATTACGGGTGACGAGTCATGTTAATTGAGTCCCTCTGTTCACCAGACCTTCTTGGCTGAAATTTTAAATTTCTCAGACACAGGGTTTCTCTGGAATTATTTTTTATTGTTGTTGTTAGGTACTATGGAGTCAGAACTGACTCATAAGTAACCCTCCTCGGGTTTTCAGAGACAGATAGTCACATGGGAGGAGAATGTCCACCTTTCTTCCACAGAGACTCTGGTGGATTTGAATCCCTGGTCTATGAGGTGATAGTGAATCTCCTTACTACTGTGTCTCCTGAGAGGCTATAATTTTGCGTATGTTGTGATTTATCTTATAAAATCTTTCCACTCCTTATTCACATTTAGCTATTTTTATATTCTCCAGTATTTTGACTCTGGATTCCAGTGTAAATTTTAATAATGAAGGTGGTGGCATTGTTTCTAATTTTAAAGGATATTTGATATTTCAATTCTATTTACTTTTTTCAAGAGTGGATAGAGTGGAAAACACCTTCTAATATTAGTTTGTTAAAAGTTAAGCTATGAAGTCATTGCCTATTTGTTCACCCTTTTTGTGTACCCTTAAGATGTGATCAAATGTTTTTCTATATATTTTCATTAATGTGGAAACATGTAGAAATGATAATTTTATATCATTTTGTATTTATGTACTTCATCAATTTTTAAATTTCATTTATTGCTATATGAAATTTAACTAGAATTTTTGTTTGTATGTGAGTGAGTGTAACTGAAATATTTTGGGGTTTTTTTCATTATGGCATCCTCGTTTTATGTTTTTTGCTTTGTTTTTAGCAAGTATGTGATTTGAAACAAGGATAGCATGTTAAAATATACTGATTAAAAATCTTTTTATGTAGTTTAAAAATTAATACAAGAAGCTTTAGTTTTGGCTTCATTTTTTTATTATTATATTATGGTGCAACTGACCTCTGTACATGCCTAAGCTAAGGATATTTTGAAAGTGGCTTTGGATTAAATTTTAAGTTTGTATTTTCCCATTAATATCTTTCCTTTCTTTCTGGAACTATCAGGTAATCTATATTTTGCAAAATTTGGCCCATTTACTTTCAAAATTCACTTTGGAACATGTTACATTTAAAACCAGATATTTTGCAATAGAATTTCTGAAGCATATATAATAGAACACAGAATAGTATAATAAAATAAATATAAGTAATACTTAATCTTCAAAAGGAGAACAGCTCAGAAAAAAAATTGAAGCCTTATTAGATCATGATTTGTATTTGCTTATTTGTTTGTTTTCTGAGTAGATTACCTTAGAAGTCATAATGGATTCTTACATTAAGTGTTATGGATTTTCCATTTTCTTCTTTTTTATCTATCTTGTCAGGCAGTGAAGATTATGACCTTTGTCCATTGTCATATATGGACCACAAGATGACGATTCTTTTATTGTCTGTTTCCCTCTTATTAGAAATTCTTTTGTTTCTTCAGGATTTAATTTTCCTGAGGTAGTATTTAAATTTATATATATATTACACACTCACACACTTTATACACATACATTTGCTGCTATATTACTGTTTGGTATCATTGAGTCCACTACATAAATGGTACACACACACACACACACACACACTGGAGAACTCTGATGGTATAAAGGTAAAAAACTGTGCCGCCATTGAAAAAGTATATAGTTCTAATTCACCAGCTGTTCTATTAATTGGGGAAAGATGAGCAGTCAATTCTTATGCAATTTACTACCACAGAAAATCTTTTGAAGAGTCAGCTATTAGTTGGTTGTGAAGTGAAAACGTGTATATATACATACCTTCAGTATGGATGGAGGCTCAATGTCAAGAAGACAAAGAAGACAAAGATTCTCACCACTGGACCAATTGGCAGCGTCAGGATGGATGGTGAAGAGATTGAGATTGTTCACAGCTTTAGTTGGCGTGGCTCCACGGTCAACACTCTTGGCACCAGCAGCCAGGAAATTAAAAGACGTATTGCGATGGGAAAATATGCTGTTAGGGACCTCTCTAAAGTACTCAAGAGCAACGGTGTGTCTCTAGAGACTAAGGTGAGTTCGGTACAGGACATAGTCTTTGCAATCACTTGTAATGCATCAGAGAGTTGGACAATGACTAGGGAGGACAGAAGGAGAATTGACGCTTTTGAGCTTTGGTGTTGGAGAAGAGTGTTGAGGGTGCCATGGACTGCTACGAAAACAGATTCATCCTGGAGAGGGTTAAACCCGGCTGCTCCTTGGAGGCAAGGATTCTGAGACTTCGTCTGACATACTTTGGTCATGTTGTAAGGAGAGACCAGTCCTTGGAGAAAGACATCATACTTGGGAGGGTAGAGGGCAGGCGCAGGAGGGGAAGGCCCTCTGGGAGATGGAATGATTCGGTGACTGGGGCAATTGGGATGAGTGTGTTGGAGGCAGTGCGATTGGCACAGGACAGAGCAGAGTTTAGAGCTGTTGTACATAGGGTCGCTATGAGTTGCAAGTG